AACAAGGGCGCAGCTAATGGCTACACCGCCCTCTGAAAGCAGTTGTCTCGTACATTTCTTCCGAGGAAAATTATGTCAAATATCTGTTGTAGTTGTTGTTTTTTATCACTGCCCCGTTTCATGTTATTCCGGCTGGGACCTTGATACACCTCTAAACTAGAAGATTTGTGGGAATGCGACACTTAAAGGACGACATGTCTTATCTGTTAGCCATGAACCCCGTCTAGTGTTGAGAACAACTATATTACTTTTTAGTGGCGTCATGGTATCTGATTCGAATTAAATAAGCAAGTGATCGAATCGTATAAGGAAACCCTGGCATGCACGATAGGTAATTTACTGCCATATATGGGCTATATAGGTGTGAAGGGTATCTTTTTCAAGAAGTTTAGTCTGTAATGGGGTATAGACATCATGAAGTTTGACTCTAAAATAGGGTATAATTTTTCAGGAAAGTGATCAGATCAGTTGGTTGAAGGTGTTAGTTTAGAGAAGAGGAACTGGAAATAGACACTGATTAAAACGAAATCGCAGATTTAAGTTTAACCGCAACTCAGTTTATAACAGTTTGAATACAAGTTAACTGCAAAGTAATAGCGAAAAATAGTGCACATTTGTTATATCCGAACAATTCGAGGCGAAAATGAATAAAACGGAGGATGATAGTCGTCTACTCCAAAGGCAAGTTCCTTGGATAACCAGGAGCCATTATCGTGATAGGACGGAGACCGTAACTGGATACCTTCACCAGTAATAGGGTTGGTTCCATCGAAATAACCAAATGTGCTATTTTTAGCACAAATTGTGACATGACTCATGTGATGCGTGCGCTCATTTTTTTGCGAGGGCGCCGCGCAAAGGATAAACAAACAAAATGGCGTCGGAAATTACCTCCGTTGGAGATGAATTAATTCAATTTCTGTCATCATTCCCTCCTCTGAATTTGAGGCAAGACCTTGAGGATAACCGTTTTGACAATAACTCTGAATATGAGGACTATGAATGTAACATAAATATATATAATTCTGATCATTTTAATCACCGCAGTGACAGTGTTTATGACATGCAAATCCAGTTACGATGAGATGTTGAAGATGTTGTTCCAAGAAAAAAAGAACTTGCGGGGTAAAGGGCGGAGAGTAAACAACAACAACAAATAATTATGTCTAATTTTCCTCAAACATATCTTTGAGTTCATGATAAATACAGCTCCACCAGCTTCAAACAGCGTCTACCGGTACACTATCCTTGCTAGCGTGGCGCAGTGGTCTAGGAGCCGACCTTCCGTGCAGATGGTCCGGGTTAGACTTTCAGCTTAGGGCTTAGCTGTTTACCTCTTTTTTGTATAATTTGGTTTTGGCTTTGTTTTTGTTTTTGTTTATTTTAAATTATATTTTTCCCCTTTGGCTTGTTTCCCTTTATTCTTACTGCTGGAAAATAGACGCATTTGCATTACCTACTCTCCTCCAAGATCCTTAATGTCACTCTTCATAAGATATCTTTACGTCACCAGGTAAGTGGTCTTCATCATGATACTCCCAGGGATGGTGTACAGTCATTACCATAATTTTAGTAGAATCTCTTAAATCGGAATAACTACCCTCGTTCCTCCTTTTCCATTTCACCCAGAGTTTGTCAAGATAACTATGGAGGAGCCAAAATTCCGGACTGTATGGGGCTGTCACATAAAAGGCTAAGGTGCCACCAACACACTTATGAAATGGCCCGTGGTGATGCTTAACAATTGTGTTCCTAAAGACAGTAAAATTTGCTTCCTGGAGGATGTTTTCTTTTTTTTCTGCATTTGGCAGTTTGCAAGAGTAATTAAAATTCCGTTTCAAGCAATGTCCATTAGTTTGAGGTAAAGAGTATTCACCATATTTAAACGGACCATTCATTACGCACCCTAAAGGAAAGACTCCATTGCCCCCCAGACCGTGAGGACCTTCATTCCATGTATCCTCGATCTCAGACCCTCGCGTCCAGTGCTCCGCGTCTTTAGACCAATCCCAGTAAGGAATTGTTATCCGGCAGTCGACCTGGCGAAGAAGATTTTCTAACTCCAGCGTATACCATCTGTGCCAGGGGAAAAAGGTTTCCATGGCTGGTATAACTGTATGCACTTTTCCTATTCTCTCATGTTCCCTTATATATCTTGGATCAGACGAAACCATTTTGAAAGCTTTTATGAAGCGTGTTCGTTCTTCAAGACTCATTTTGGTAAACTCTTTTCGAACTCTATAACAAGAATCAAGTTTTCCATTCTTACACTTGCAGCTTCTATCACAGATGTCTTTAACGCTTTTGTTGTCTTCGCATTTCACACTGTAACCTATAAGAACGAAATAATAAAATAATAATCATACTATTTTAAAACTAATGAAAATAATACTTGCATCAATAATAATTGGATCATTGCATTGTTCCAGAAAGCTTGTTTGCTGGGAACAGCTAAGATCCTAAGAAGGACCCTAGACACCTATGGTCGTGATAGGAGATATAATAATAATAAGAGAAAAGAATCTTTATTACAAAACCTCAATTAAAATCCTATTTACAATCAACCTGCTGTTACAAAAAATCTAATTAATTCATCAAAAACACTATCTACAATTCCATCCGTTACAAAAGAAACCCCTCGTCCTTAGGAGATAGCTTGATGTTTTGGGGAATAAGGCCACCTCTAGGTGTGCGACATGTACATAATAATAATAATAATAATAATAATAATAATAATAATAATAATAACAATAACAATAACAATAACAATAACAACAATAACAATAACAATAATAATAATAATAATAATAATAATATGCTTTTACTTAGGCTTTTTATGGACACTGGTTTAGCCGTCATTAGTATAATTCGATTAATATCTCTGCATGATGGAATTCTTCATTTTATAGAATGTTGAACTTTTATTATTAATTATATTTATTTCCACTTCTTTTATGTAAGGTTAAGTTACTTCTATATTTTAGAATTTGTAAATGAATAGATTATTTTTTTCGCTTATTATATATAGGATTGTTTTTGTTCTCTAATGAAGGCCGAGGGGTTTCTTTTGTAATGGATGGAATTGTAGATAGTGTTTTGATGAATTAATTAGATTTTTTGTAACAGCAGGTTGATTGAAAATAGGATTTTAATTGAGGTTTTTTTAATAAAGATTTTAATTTTTATAATAATAATAATAATAATAATAATAATAATAATAATAATAATAATTATGATAATAATAACAGTAATAATAATAAAAATAAATGGACATTTTATTGATAATAATAATTGATAAAAAAGGAATTTTCCTGGGTGATTTCCTTTCTCCACTCCCACATGTCTCTTACAAGAGGCATCTACTGGATTCCATCTCAACAAAGAAGAAAGAAAAATTAATCATACATTGTTTAATGCCAGTGATGTGAAGATTTATGGCAGGGGTGAAGGAGAAAATGATTCTCTTGCGCAGACCGCCAGAACATTTAGCAATGATGTTGGAGTGGACTTTGGTATTAATAAGTGCGCTGTGCTTGTGATGATCGAAGAGCGGTAAACGGACGGCGGACTACAGGGAAAATCTTTTAACATTTCAAATTTTCAGCTATTGGTGTTCTTCCACTGCCGCCACAAAATGAAATACAGCTGCTGTCAAGATCCTTCTTGGTTTTTGGGCTGAGGAAATCTTCGCCATGGAATTCAACGAAAGTAAAAGTTGAATATACAGGCTTTTACAGCAAAGTACAAGAAAAGTTCTGACTTCACGTACCTGCTTTCAGCAGCTGCGTGACAAGTTTTGTCTCGTTTTAGCTTTGTGGGGTCGTTAAGTCAGGCGTAATCTTAATTATTTCAAGTCATGAGAGAAGAGATGTAAATGGCTTCGCGTTTAATATACAGAAACTAAACTTTTTTTTTCTGGTTGCAAATGAAAAGTGAAAGTTTTAAAGGGAATACCCCGATCAAGCGCAAACAAAAAAATTATTCGAATTCATTTAGAATTCGCATATTTCTCTCTCTTTCTTACTCATTTTGGACGAAACGATAAATACGTTTATACACTCCCGTAGTTCCCTCGAGACCAGACCAAAATAGGCAAATTCTATACCCGTTCTCAGACCAAAAAGGTGCAGAAACACTACCCGTTGGGGTGGTACACACCTATATGGCTTATATTAGGGAGTACCCATCCCCGGGTTTTAGTCTCTGAGTATTGCTCCGGCCCTGGGAATCAAACCCGCGACCTCCCGCTCTGCAGTCAAGCACTCTACCGACTGAGCTAATCCTGCCGCTAATAATAATTGCGTGAAAACGGAAATCAACCGTGGTAAATAAATTCACGTGTACCGCAAGTCACCTTGGTAAAGTTTACCCGAGTAAAAATTTACCGCGGAAGATTTACCACGCGAAAGACCTTTTACCATGGTGTGTGTAACCGCACCTAATGTCATCAGGTAACTGGTTCCAAAGCTTAGGAGCGGAGATGGCGAACGCCCTGGCACCATAGTCTTCATGTTATAATCAGTTGGGGCTAAAAGCAAGGTAGATGATGATCGAAGCATGTGTGCAGTACATTACGAAGTATGGAGTTCTTTGATGTAGGAAGGCGATAGGTCGTGGAGGCCTTTGTAGGTTAAAGGAACAATTAAATTTAATGCGTTCGGCAATGGGGAGCCAATGCAGTCGCATCAATAGAGGAGTTACGTGGTCCACTTTTGAAGAAGATGTCACTAAGCGCGCAGTAGGATTCTGAACGGACTGTAGTTTCCGCAGTACACGTTTAAGGATGCCATAAAGCAGAGAATTACAGAAATCTAACTTCGAGGAGACAAAGGCATGGATAAGCAACTCAGTAGTCTTGGGAGATAAATACCTCCTAATGCGAGCAATGTTCCGCATTTGATAGAAAGCTGACTTACAGAGGGATTTAACCTGGGGAAAAGAGTACAGTCAAGTTAGCACCAATGTCTCTGACATGTTGGGAGGGCTGGATGAGATCAGCACCGAAATGAAGTGGATAAAAGACTAACCTTCTGTGGACTGTATTTGGAGGCATCTTTTGATGTTACTCATATCATGTTATAATTTGTAATCCCAAGTCGTCGTCGCAGGAGAAAGAAGCATATAACTGGGTGTCATCAGCATAAAGATGGAAAGCCATATTGTGATGCCGAAGAATGTCAGCCACAGGTGATGTGTAGAGAAGGTAGAGGACTGGACCCAACACGGAACCTTGGGGTTTGCCGCAATTCAATTCAGGAGAAAAGGATTTATCCAGGTCGATACATACAGTCAAACTGAGAACGTTGAGAAAGATAGAATATGAACCACTGCAATGCTTTACCACGAACTGAAAACTTGGATTCGAGTCTACTGAGTAATAAATTATGGTCGACAGTGTCAATAGCGGTCGATAAATCGAGTAATAGCAGAACCACACAACATCGGTTATCTACGGCACGTAATAAGCCGTTATGGATGCGGACAAAAGCTGTCTTGCAATTGTAAAAGCGTTGGTACGCAGACTGGAGTGGTCACCAAGGTGATTCAGCTCAAGATAGTAAATATGACGGGAAGCGACGACTTTTCCAATGATCTTGGACATCCACAATAATGATGTTGGACATTGGTCGAAAATTCCGTAATAATTCATGGTTGAGTGAAGGCTTCTTAAGGAGCGGTGACAGGACTGCAGATTTAAGAGATCGTGGAAAATTACCAGTTTCCAAGGAAAGGTTCACGATGTTATATAAAACAGGTAGAAGGAGGTCGATCTGAGTGACGAAAAGAGTTGAAGGGAGAGGAACCAAGCTCGAATTGATTTGGAACCAACTTGACGAGCTATTTGAGAGAGTTCGTGGATAGTGGTGGGCGAAAAATACTCCAGGCTACAGCTTAACTTATGTAGGAGTATCAAGTGCAGCAAAATAGTCAGGGAGGTCATCATCAGGAAGCTCACTACGAAGGTTGTCCATTTTTACTTTGAAAAAGGCGGAAATCTATTAGCAAGCTAAACTGACGAGGAACAATAGGGTAGACGTTTATCAGGTTTTCTTTGAAATGGACGATCAATTGTCTTAAAGAGGGCGTGGCTATCGGTACCGGCATCATGAATCAAAGTAGAGTAGAAAGACATTTTGGCGTTGAAGACAAGGTTCTTTACCAAAGAGCATTGATCAACAAAGACACAACAGTCAACAGGAGGCTGAGAGCGGCCCAAGCGTCTTTCCAGTTGGCGGCGGAGAGTTTTTTCGAACGCGATTATCATCAGTGTACCACGGGACGTGGGGGCGTTGAACAATCGGCTTGGTTATCAAAGGAGCGTGCTTTTCCAAAATGGAATAGAGAATAGTGTCTTATTGATCACAAAGTTCAGTGACATCACAGGGAGGCTGATCATAAAGGTAGAGAGGTGAAACGTAGTTTATCAGAATTAATGGCTCGAAGTTTATGGTTAGCGACAGCTATCTTCGGGTTAGGCGGAGGTTCGTTAAGATTACAATGATTAAGATGATGAGATCGTGGACAGAGAGATTGCTGACGAAGTTCTCATTAGATCTTGTAATAATTAAGTCCAGGGTGTGATTACTTCTGGGGGTTGGAGAGAGAGAGGGAGAGAGAGTGTGTCGGTTGAGGTTAAAGCAGTTAAGAAGATCCATAAACTTGAGGGCAGCAGGGTACGAAGAATCATCAACTTGTAAGTTAAAGTTACCGCATATGAGTAATTGACCAGAAGAAGAGACCAGATATCCAGAAAGGAGGTGAATTCTTCCAGAAAAAGAGGGAAGGTAAGGCGAGTTTCGGTCGATGGCGGTGGACGATATACTACAATAAGACGGGTAGGAGGAGAGGTTGAGAAGAGCTGTAATTAATCTTGAAACTCAGTCTTATAAAACAACTGTTAATCTCAAGAATCTCAATTGGTTTCAAAATTATTCGCCTTTTAGTTTAAGTAGAACAAAATGTCTACAAAACCGCTAACAGGAGCACCGCAAAACATATACTAATCAGACAAATTCTTTTTTTCTAGCTATCGGCCTAAAGATATCCTTATGATCTTTCACACACGTTTCTTTCACACCCATTCCGAGAATTCATCTTTATTTAATACAGCTGTGGTGCTAATGTTTCCAAATCTTTGTTAATGACGACGTCGTTCATGCTCAAAGTTGGGAGGTTTTGACCTCAGAAACCCTGTCAAGCCACCGTTATTGTGTCTATTTGGACTTGACTTTATGCCGGTTAACATTCTTCAGGTCTTGTTTCAGCTCTTTGATGGATTCTTATTTAGATGTTCCAATGAAGATTAAATGTCGGTACATGATATTCTTCCGTGAAAATGATAAGCAGATAGCTATGCCTACCGGTTTCTCCGCCAAAATTACATACTAGCTTCGCAAAAAATAATTCTTAGTGATTAGGTGCTACGCTCTACTAGTTGTAAGGAACTTTTCTGAATATTTCCTGTAGGGTAAACCTATACTTTAAATATGTGTTAAGGCGGAATCCACCAGGAAATTGAGTAATTTTAACTTTTAGTGGACAAACGCCTTGTACCAGTTTTACTCCACTAGTTGTAAGGAACTTTTCCGAATATTTCCTGTAGGGTAAACCTAAACTTTAAATATGTAAATGTAACACAATTTCAGGTTTCAAAACCTACCTTTATCAAGAAAATGTCCCAAGGTTTCGACGTCGAGATTGGGACATGCGTATTGTGATTTCTTTAGGGTGGTTCCCACAGTCAAAACGAGGTAGCGAAAAGCCTTCAAGAGGTTTCCAGGACAGCGAGGAACGGAAAAACAACCAATTGAGGTCTGCAAAAATAAGGTTTTGAGTCACTTCCCTCGAATTCTCATTCCGAGTGAAGTAACTAATAACGGTAAGTTCAAATATGTTCTGTAGACATCTTTTTTCTCAAGCTAGTGATACCTTCTCGAGATGTTACCTGTCGTTAAAACGCAAGAAGTTAACCATAAAAAGTAACAGAGAACCGTTTAACAAGGGGCTAAACATAACAAAACAAGCCTCCTACTGATCCTTTTGTCGTAATCGATGTTACTGCACTGAATTTTTTGCGATTAGAATTTCCTATAGGCGACTGATTGTAAATGTTAATCAGAGGTTTTTGTCTTCTTCTCATTCACCAAAAAAAATTTCCCTTTTTTCCCGCAATTTAAATAGCTATTGTTCGAACTGGTATCTACGCTATAGAGGCCACTAGCTGTGCAAATTTATGGAACAGAGGAAAGTGGTTGCATGAGAAAAAGGTTTACCTCCCACAGGATTGGTTCAAACCACCGAACATGGTCGCCATTTCATTGTTTTGTGACTTAAATACAGTGCACAAGGCGTAGTCACATGAAACTGTCTATTGTTTCGTTTGACCTCTGTATCTCTTTATCTCTATACAGAGGGTTCTTTATTGTACCAAGAATGCGCGTTTAAACAGTGAAAATAAACAAATAAATAAATAATATCAAATAGATACCAATCTGTCAGGAGAAAAGTTTACCATGTGCCCTTCAACCTGACTGACAATAAAAATAACTTCTAATTTGATATTCTGCCCTTATCAGTTACCACATTAATCATAACTATAAAAAAATTCTCAAATCTGATTGGCTATAAACTGCCCTTATTTCAGCCTTAATAGGACAGTTTTTGATTAAAGAAATCGGAATCCCGCTACGCGGTCGTCCGATTTTGTTAATCACTCGTATGATTACACTCCGAATTGGACTCCACTCAGCCCTGTTACCATTACTTACAGCATTTATTAATAGCACCCACAAATTCGAATTGGCAGATTGAGTCGCGCATTTTTTTGTTAAGAGGTTAAGGGTGTGTTCTATCTCCGAAAGGAAATGTTCCATCAACATGAAACTACCACAGGGTTTATCCTAGAACGGCTTGAAATTTTTCTGATAAGTGAGCTTTATTCCTAACAGTGTTTCCACAGCAACCAATCGCGCGACCACCCATACAGCAACTTTCAGTTTGTTCCTTAAGGCTTCTGAATACTAGGAGAATTTGTCTTCACTGAAACGTTTTGGTAATATAAGATTGTTTCTTGTCGATGAATGTAAGGCCCCGTAATTGGATGAAGCAAAGTCAAAACCGTCATATTATATTGATGATATGGCCTGAACACGCAGAAATTGGTTCTGTGTAAGATTTCGAACGCCATTTTGTCTAACCCAAAAGAAAAAAAAAGAAGAAAAAGAAAAAAAAAAAAAAAGATTGGTATCCTTTACTATAACATGACTCATTTCGCGACAGCGTCATCTCAACTTCATTCATTGTGTCAAGTGTAAGCCGTTAAAAATCTATTGCCAACGTTTCATTTCATTATCTTGAATAATGCAGAAGATAGACCACCCCCTCCAGTTTTATATATCACTTGAGTAGCTGGTGTTCGTGCTTGGTTCCCGGTTTGTCAGACGTTCAGATAGGAGGAAGAAAAGACTTAGTACTGCATCATTCATGATAAAAAGTGAAACACTACACCATTCTCTTGTTTTCTTCCTTGTTTATTTTGAGTAACAGCTTTGAATTTTTTGTCACGTTTAGCCAAAGACTTATGTTACTTTCAACATGCATGAACCTTTAGCTGGAAACATTTATTTAGGAGCTAAGAAGCTAAACTGTAGTTGTATAGTTAGAATGGAAAGTGTTTCAACTGACTGCTTGTGTGACTTGTTAGCCTGGGCGTGGATTTCCTTGAATTAAAAATATTCTCAACGCATGAATATTCTTATAAATTTGTAGTCACATCAATTT